CCCCCGCCCGGTGGTGTCCATCCACCGGGCGGGGGCAGAGACTCTCCGGCTGTCAGTCAGTCTCTCAGAGAACAGACGGCAGCAGCAGCACCAGCAGCAGGAGGAGCAGAGACGGTAATCCCCCCTCCATCATCTCATCCAGCCCACCCCTTTTTCCAAAACCCAGAAACCAGAGGCAGGAGGAGGTGGGGGACGAACAAAATACCCCCTCACAGGACATGTGCAGTTCTGGGGGCTTTGTGGAAGATCTATAAAAACTGGGTTATAGAGGCAGGAAAAAAAGCAGCAGCTTCTGCCTGGATTCACGGTGACGGAGCCGTCAGAACCAGAGCCAGCATCAGGACCAACAGGACCAGCAGCAGCAGCAGGTCGGTGCATGGATGCGCTCTAAAGGCGGAGTTCGGTGGCGGGAGCCGCAGGGTCGTGCCGCATTGCCGACCACCGATAGATGGTGATGCTGTCGTCATTGTGTCACAGAACGAGAGGAAACCGTGAGGTTGTGTCACAGAACGAGAGGAAACGGTGAGGAGAGGCTTTGACATGGAGGCAGGCGGCTGCTGCTGCGCGTCACTTCTGAGCTCAGGCCACCCGGATCAGCAGGTTGGATCTCCAGCCTCATAAAGCCTGGACCGCTGGGCTCTTTCTGTTCAGGGTGAATCGGGAATATGGTGAAGTTGAATTCTTGGGAATGGTTTTGTTTGTAAAAAGTGAAACTGCATCCCAGGATGAGAGCATTTCAGGGTGGATTACAGAGCAGCAGGCCTCCATCTGAAGTCAGCTACTGATCAGGGGACCAGAACGAAAAGCTCCTTCCTGCCCTGTTGCTGCCGGAGGGAAGTGTTTATTCGGTGGTTTTATTGCAGGCGGCTGCTGTTGTGAAGCATGACTCACTTACAGGCTGGCCTCTCTCCAGAGACCCTGGAGAAGGCCAAGGTGGAGCTGAAAGAGAACCCCGAGACGTTACACCAGGACATCCAGGAGGTCCGGGACATGATCATCACCAGGCCGGACATCGGTTTCCTCAGGACAGACGACGCCTTCATCCTCAGGTTCCTCAGGGCCAGGAAGTTCAACCACTTTGAGGCGTTCCGGCTGCTGGCTCAGTACTTTGAGTACAGACAGCAAAACCTGGACATGTTCAAGAACCTGAAACCCACAGATCCGGGGATTAAACAGGCCCTGAAGGACGGTTTCCCCGGCGTGCTGTCCAACCTGGACAGATATGGCCGGAAAATCCTGGTCCTGTTTGCAGCCAACTGGGACCAAAGCAGGTAATAAAATTGTTCGAGGTCAAAAAGAAAGCTGTGGTTTGAGGAGCTGTCCATTCAGCACCACTCGGTTTATGTCAACATATCAACTTCATTCAGGATCACAAAGACAAAAACTTCTCAAACTCAAACTATTTATTTGTAAAGCTAGATTCATGCATGATTAAAGTGTTTCCGTATCACCAGGAGAAAACTCAGAGTTGTGTTTTTGCTCCTTCTCGTCAAAAGGAGTCAGCTGAGGTGGCTCGGGTTTGGGTTTCCAGCTGGGTACTTTATTTTAGAGGTTAAATTCTGAAAGCAAGGTAGACCCAGAACTCAGTAGAGAGATTATGTGTCCTGGCCTGGAAACAAGATTTACTTGAAAATAAACCTCGTGACAGTTTGCACTAACTTTTGTTAAGTAAATTTAAATGCTACAAATTCATGTAATTTTTACTCATCATTATCCAGTAAAAGCTACTAAGAATATAGTTAAAGATTTGTGAATAAATCAGATAAATTTGACTGAATTTGCTCATTTAAATCTTGTAACATATAATTGATCAAATTAAGTAAGATTTCCCTGATTTACTCATAAATCTTTAACTATATTCTTAGTACCTTTTACTAGATAATGAGTAAGTATTACTTGAATTTGTAGCATTTAAATTTACTTAACAAAAGTTAGTTAATTTTTACGAGAATTTTTTCTAGTAAATCTTACAAGTTCTTTATAACAGTGCACATGCGTCAAGCACAATATTGTAGCATGACACCTCACAGCTACAGAGAAGTTTAGCTCTTGTTGTAGTTCAAGACTTCACCACCAGGTGGCAGTTTTGAAGAACCTTTATTGGATTCTTCTTCATGAACAACATAGACGAAGTGAAACTCACAGGTCTTATTAATGACTAGGCCTACCACTCTCACTTATGGTTACTTCTGCTGAAAGCTTTAACACAAGTTAACAAATAATGAACACACAAATTAGAGTACCACAACAGACTAATTGTTAACCAATTCCCTAAAATGATTTAACAACAACAAACAAGAATCCTACCCACAAGCCTCCACTGCAGTCACATGACAAACAGCCAAACACAGCAGAATGCTACAATATGCATTCCCTGTTCCCTGACAACTAAATATCACCTACATTATGTCATCAAACTATTGCACACCAACAAATGTATTCAAGCAAAAGAAAGCAGACAACTTATGTTTTATTTCCACCATGTCTTGTCCTCTCCTTGAAAAGTGAAGCAAGGGAATGAGGAGCAGCAGCCTTTGTGTGTGCATGCAGCCTCAGTTTTAGTCCAGAAGAGTAGAAGTTACTTCATATATTCATGTTTATGTGCTGTCCAGAAAAAACACTTAAATACTACTGGTAAAATAATATTAGCATTTATATTTTTTGTACAGTACTATTGATATATAATATAATGTGTATTGTTTATTCAGTAAATTCTAGTAGTTTAGAGATTTTGATATTTTTTGTAAAATTTAAAAAGAATAATTAAATAAATGTTACTACAGTTTATTTTTAGTGCGCCAAGTCACAACAAACATATCAGTAAGGGTGTGACTTTAGGGCGGGGTTAAGCTCTCTGTTTATTTATTTATTGAATGGTTTACTTTTATAAAACTATTCAGGACATTTAGGACATCTTTCCTGTTTTCTTTATATTTACTCTGCACCTTTTCTGTTCCACATCAGTTCAACACACACATTTTTTTCCAACAGTAACAAATATTTTACATTTTCAGGATGTATTATATGACACGATGTATTTACCTGGTGTTCAACAATCTGGATAGGAAAATTTACAACATTATTCAACAAATCTAGCCAAAATGTGACGACAGACTAAAACCCTGCATGTTGTTTTCTGTAATTATGCTTAAACCATGTTTAACTTTGACTAAACTGTGTTTTAACTCGTCCTCTTTTAAACTGATAAGAACTAAGTGTACGACTGACTAAATCTGAAATAAATACAGAAATGTTGTTTAGTTTATGGTTGATGTTGACTTTAAAGCAGCTTATTTTCAGACATTAATACTGGGCTGTCCAACTAAATTGCTCAGTTACTTAAAGCAGCTCAGGGACAGGAATTTATTAAATTTATTTTTATTACATTTTTTTATTGAATTTATTTTTGTTGCATTTAATCATAAATTTCAAGTTTACCATTGATATTAGGGCTGCCACGGTTAGTCGATTAATTGACGACTAATCGATTATTAAAATAATCGATGACTAATTTAATAATCGATTAGTCGTTTTTCTTATTTATTTGTTTATTTATTTATTTATTTATTTATTTATTTATTTATTTATTTAATGTTCTTTGTTTTTCTCTCCAAACTGCTTTGACACCTTCCACTGCCACATCTGCCTACCTTTAATAGCAGCTGCATTCTGACGTGATAAGCTCTATGTTTTATATCCAATTAACGTACGATCCGATTAGTCGACTAATTGAAAAAAATAATCTGTGATTAATCGACTTTAAAAATAATCGTTTGTGGCAGCCCTAATCGATATGAGAAACAATTTTCATGTTAAGTAAAAAAAAAAAGGGCGGGCCACACGGGAGTCACCCGTGGGCCACATTTGGCCCGCGGGCCTTGTGTTTGACACGTGTGTTGAAGCAAATGATGTCATTTTATTGGTTAACAAAGAAGAAGAAAATCTAAGAAAGCCAGAAGAACGTGTCATCACTTCCTGAGCAGCACAGTGGCGACAGTGGAAAGGGGAAAAAACACCTTTTAAAAGGGAGAATCCTCCATCAGAACCAGAACCAGGCTCAGGACTGGCTGTGCGTGTGTGTGTGTGTGTGT